GCCAAGGTATGATGTCTGTGTGTGGCAGGGGCTCAGGGAACAGACTGGAGTAGAATCTCACAGGCCCTTTGTATCTGGTTGGCATCAGGTTTGGTCCCTGCAGACCAGGGAGGCGGGTGGGCCCCTCCCCAAGGCACTGACCAAGCCCCATCAAGAAGACCAGAGTGGGCAAGACCAGGGGGCAGCACAGCCCTGCACTTAGCATCATTGCCTTATCACAAACTGTTCATCGTGCATCTCCACCATCCAAAGTCACGCTGATTGCTCACCATCCAATTGCGAGGTGGGGCTGGGCTTGACCACCCCCAGGCTGATGGGGTCTGATGGAGGACTGTCAAGTCCATCTTGGCGGTGAGCCTGCTGTTGGGGAGGAGGCTCAGGGTCATCCACGGAGGCTGGCCCCAGAACTCGGAGGTGAGAACGCATTGTGTCAACCTGGATCTCCTCGCCTCTTCCCACCTCAGCCCCCGTTCACCAATACTGCCCATGTAATGGGCCAGGCCCTGTTCATAGCCCACCTCCTCCAGCGAGTCTTCCCTGCTTCTCACTCCACAGTGAACTCCAGCTTCTGGCACCTTCTCAGCAATGGTTGCACCATTCCTGGACTCCTAGCACACAGTGCCTTCTGTTGCTAGTGTTTATGTGCATGGTGGTTCTCCCTATCTAGTTTTGCAGGGTCCAGGGAGGATCTGAGTCTCAGTTCCTACATCACTGCAGAGCCCGGATTGGTTCTTGCATCCAAAGACAACGGTTGACACGGTAGAGGTTGAATGAAAGAATGCAAAGTTCCCCTCTAAAGGATGCAAACAGGAAGAGCCCACATCTGAGCCCACTCTTGCTACAAGGTGGGGGTTGTGGGGATGGACAGATAAAGGTGCAGTTGCCATGAATGCCCTGCGTGCAGAGGCTCTGCAGAAATGCTACGCACTCCACATTCAGAAAGGCAGCGCCTGCCAGTCCATCAGCACCACAGCAGCACTGTCCAATAGAAATATAGCGTGAGCCACAAATGCGAGCCACGGGTGTGATTTTAAAATTTCTAGAAGCTACATTTTTTAAAAAGCAACAGGAAAAATTAATTTCATTCATATATTTTGTTAATATATTTTATATTTTAACCCAATATATCCAAAATATTATGATTTCACTAATTTAAAGAAAGTAGTCATGAACTATTTCACATTCTTTTTCGTACTAAGTTTTCAAATTCCAGTGCATATTTTCCACTTACAGTCCATCTCGATTCAGAGCAGCTGTGTTTCAGTCAGCGGTCACATGTGGCTGCCGTATTAGACAGTGCAGCTCTAGATATAGATATCACAGGAACCTGCAAAAACCAATGTGCCTTCTGCAGCCAAGCCCTCTGCATCCATGAGGCTGACATGGAGCCCAGCGTGTGAATGAAGATGCTGCCGCAGCCAACACCTCCTCTGAGAGTGGGGCTCACTGTCCCTTTGGGCCACCTCAGAGGAGAGGACCCCGGGTCCTGCCTCTGGTGTGGGGGAAGCTGCATCTGTTTGGGAGGGGATATGGGATTCTCAGAGAGAAGTGACTTCACCTCAATCTCTCAGCCCAAGCTTGCTGTCTCCTCCATTCCCTCTGAGGAGGAGCGACCCACTGCAGACACCCCCGTAGAATAGTCCAACCCAGAGAAATTGGCTTCCCCGTCAACAGTTTCCCCTGGAGCAGCCCTCAGAAAAAGGACAAGAGTCCCTCCCAGGTCTTCAGTTGGCTCTCCCTGCGACAGTCCATCCTCGATCTGTCTTCAAGACATGGGTTCAATGTCAGGGAGAGAGAAGGGTCAGTCTCGAGGGGCCTTTAGTGCTCATTGGGACAAATTAAATAACAAACAAACAAAAACAACAACCAAATAGATATAGATATTTTTTGTTTTTTATTCTCCTGAGGCTAAGTAATAAAAATATCTGTGGTCTAAATAATCTCAAATACTTTGCACACACAAAAATGGATCTTGCAACCAAGGGATAATTTTTAAAAGTTTGTTTTTTATGAGATTTCTGCACAAGGGTTTTATCTGTAAAGGACCAAAGCTGAGGGGGAAAAAAAAGCCAAGGCTCTCCTAGCAGCTGGCCCCAGCATCTGCTAGAGCCACAAAATGCAATTATATTACTCCCAAACGAGAAGTAAAAATATCTTGTTTCCAATACTCTTGGTTTTAAGACTCATACTTAATGTCCTCTGGGTATTTCAATGGTGCCAGATCTCTGTGTTATGTACTTTATTATAGATGTGTGAATGTCATACTAATGACTTCTAACCAACAGGTTTACAGTGGAAGCAATTTTCCCAGAACCCACTACTCACTCACTGTACTTTACAAAAAATAATTGGCCTTAATTTAAATAAATAAATAGCCATTCCATACTCCCCGTCCCAGTGGCATCTCTCACCTGCTCTCTCCAGGGCACCCCATGCATAAAGATGGTGGGTTTCCTCCTCCATAATAAATATTCCAACCAGGGGTCCCCATTCACTGATGTTCCTCCCAAGTGCCCAGCCAGGCAAGCCAACACCTTCTACAGGATGTTCTGGGTCCCCATCCACAGGTCAAAACCAACAACCCAAATCATGCTTTCAAAATGACCAGCTTTTGTTATAAACAGCTAGCATATAGAATAATGGTTTATATTTTTTTATTTATATAAGGGGTAGCATAGCTCTACTCTAACAATTTATGAGGGTGTAGTGATTAGGATCTCAGGGATCCAAGGGTATCTGGAGGACTTTCTACAAAATGGTCAGTAGCAATTCAGAATGTATTCCTAACAGCCCAGACTTGTGAAATAAAGCCTGGCCCAGTTGGCTGTCTGTTATTTCGACGTGGTAAAGCATTCTTATGACCATCAAAGTGCCAATCAGAGCAGAAACAATGAGCCATAATAAAAACAATCAGAGAAAGATTCAATGAAGAAGGAATTCATTCAATCTTTCATTCATTTCATTATCCACTCATTGGTTCAATCATTCGATGCATCATCGAGCACCTATAGCCTGGCCTATATGCCAGGCACTATGCAAGGCCCTAATGATACAAAGACATGTGAGTAATGGTCCTGGGAAGACAGACGGGGATGCAGGATCCAGGGCTATTGTGTCAACTGCAAAACAGACAACGAGTGCTAAATCAGCAGCACAAATAATGTGTTCGTGCTGAGAAGAGAAGCGAAGGTTTCTCCAAGGAGCTAACATTTAAACTGGGTCTTGAAGAATGAGTAGGAGGTCACCAGGCTGACAAATGGTAAAGGCATTAGGGAAAGGAAACAGTCTATGCAAAGGCAGGACAGCAGGAAAAGCAAATGTACTGGGGGATCTTTGAGTGATATGAAGTAACTCGAGCCTACGGGGCAGGGGGAACGCAAGAACCCAACACTGGAAAGGGTAGGGAGGCACTAAACTGTGGAGGAATTAAAATGCCAGGTGAATGAAGTTCTATCCACAAGAGCCAGGGGAGTCACGGAAAGCTTTTAAGCAGAGGGGAGACACAGAAAGAGTTGTGCTTTAGAAACACGGCTTTGATGGTGCCATGGCAGAGAGGGCACTACTGACCAGGGGCTATGATTACAGCGCAGGAAAGAGAGGACGAGATCCTGAACTATGACAGTAGGAATGGGAAAAGTGGAACAAAGTTGAATTTTTTCCTAAGTGAAAGAAATGGGGCTTGAAAACCAATTGGCTGTAGAAAATGAGGGAGAGTGAGGAGTGAGGACACCTCCAAAGCAAAGGAAGCCGAGGGGCTGAATCTACCCAAAGATGTGCTTGCTTGGTGCACACAGTATTTGTTCCTATTCGGTTTATTTGTCAATATTTAAAGATTGGGAGATGGAAACTTCCAGTTTCTCTTAAAAAATAAGAAGGTCTGGCAACTCTGGGCCCACACTCCTGCAGAACATCCACTGGTTGGAGCTGAGGAGCACAGCCTCTTTTGGCCACCATCCCCATCTGGCTGGCTTTCTTCACTCACAACACGTGCTTGGACCTTGTAGGCACATGACTTTGGGGTTCCCAGTCTGGTATTTCTGGCATTGAAAGCTGAGTGGATTGTAAGATCATGAACCTTATAGGTTATCCACAAAGACATTTAGAGCAACAGATTTTAGAAGAGAGATATGTTAACCAGAACACTCGTTGCCCCTTCATACAATAATATTTGCTGGTTAATCTAGACCCAAGACTGTCCTAATATTGTGCCAGTTGTCAATTTATTATCTCTTACTCCAATTTTATCCTTATTTGTCTTGCTTTGTGACACTGAAGCTGGGCCTTTTAAACATTTCTCCTGTGCAAGCTTGGCAGAATGTTAAGCTTTGTCAATAGAGAGCAATGAAGTGACCCTGCAAGATGATAGTAGCAAGAAGACACGTCCCTTCTGGTTTCTGTCCTCTATCACTATTATTATTCTCATCATTATTGTTCAGAGTGAGACAGTGGCCACGCACATGAGCTCCAGCTACGCCCTCAGGGCACACTCCCTCCATGGCAGGCTGCAGCTCTGGTCCACCCAACACTCTTAAGCAGCCAGTGTGGTCCTGTGGTGGTCATGTTCTCCAAAGAGGTCCAAATTTAAGCCTATGGTGGGGGGACTCTTCTAGTCAGTTTATTTGTTGTCTACTCTTCCTCAGCCTAGAGGTAGTAGCTGCTTTTAGAATTCTCTTTTATCCCTAGTAGTCATCAACCACCTTTTACTAGTTCACAATTCTTTATATTAAATTTTTTCTATTCAAATAACCAATATGGTTTCTGTGTCCTGACTGGACTCTGACTGATATAAAAATTGTCCACAGGCCTGAGAATACTTATAGTCTCACTGCTGTGTCATCCTAGAAGACTTACTAAAAAGTATAGAGGGAATGAAAAGACACCTGAAGGAAAAGAAGCCTATATTGAGGGAAATATCCAAATTAGCCCAGTGAGGACTCTAGAGCAAGTTTCCTAGATGCCAGTCACATGGGAGTTTGAAAGGCATTGGAGCAATGTGTGTCCTACGCTTTAATTTGTGGGAAAATCTGATCTGCCTATTTGGGGAGATAAAAAGCATTGCTTGTAGAGTAGGAAAAAGTTACTTCATCTTCCTTTGGCTCCATGGTTTGGGGCAAGTCTCTTGACATTTCCTCACCTGAGTTATGGCTTAACACAATTGTATTACATGAGGTAATAAATGGAGATTCTTGGCAAACAGTAGATTACTGGTTTAAACTTTTTTTAATCAGCTCCATGGAGTATAATTTACATCCAGTAAAATGCAACTCATTTTAAATGCACAGTTCAATGAATGTTAACAAGCAAATATATTATGTATCTATCGCCCCATTCAAGATATAAAACATTTCCAGCACATTGAAAAGTTCCTTCATACCCCTTTTCAGTCAATCTCCCTCATACCTCCAGCCCCAAGCAACCATTGATCTGCTTCCTGCCATTGTAGATTAGCTTTGCCTGTTCTAGAATGTTATATAAATGAAATTAGACAGAATGTGGTCTTTTTGTGTCTAGCTTCTTTCACTCAAGATCATGTTCTTGAGATTGATCCATGTTGTTGTTTGTATGAGTAGTAATCCATTCCTTTTTTATTGCAGAGTATTATTCTATTGTATAGACATGTCATAATGTGTTTATCCACTCAAATGTTGATGAACATTTGTGTTGCTTCCAGTTTGGGGCTGTTATGAATAAAGTATTATTAACATTCATTTGCGAGTCTTTGTGTGGATGTATGTTTTCATTTCCCTTTGGTAAAAATCTAGGCATGGAATTGCTTGGTCATATGGTAAGAACATGTTTAACTTTATATGAAACTGACACACTGTTTTCCAAAGTGGTTGCACTATTTTATATTTCCATCAGGAATGTATATGAATTAAAGTTGCTCCATTTCTTTGCCAACACTTATCACTTTTGGTCTTTTCAATTTTAGCCATTTGAGTGGGTGTGTAGTTATCTCATTGCAGTTTCAATTTGCTTTTCCCTTATGAGTAATGATATTTAACATTTTTTTCACGTGCTTACTGACCATTTATACATCTTCTTTTGTGAAGTCTGTTTTAATTTTTGCCTAATTTTTAATTGGGCTGTTTTTCTTTTTATTGCTGAACTGTAATAGTTCTTTTTGTATTTGGATGTGAGTCCATCACGTTTATGAATTATAAATATTTTCTTCCAGTCTCTGGCTTACTTTTTCATTTTCTTAAAGGTTTCAAAGAGCAGAAGTTTTTAATTTTGGTTAAGTTCCATTTATCATATGTTCTTTTCCTGTCAAATTTAAGAAATCTTTGTCTACTGCAAGTTCTCTGTTTTTTATTTGGAATGTTTAGACTGTTCATATTTAGCGTAATTATTGATGTGGTCCAGTTTAAGTTTACCAAAATGCTATTTGTTTTCTACTTGTTCCATTTGTTCTTTGTTCCCTTTTCCTCTTATTATTGCCTTCTATTGGATTAACTGATTTTTTTTTAGTAGTCTATTTTATCTCTACTATTGGCTTATTAGGCTTGCCTCTGTTTTATTTGTGGTTGCTCCAGTGTTTACATTATGTGTCTTTAATTTAACAGAATCTACCTTTGAACAATATTATATCACTTATGTATATTGTGAGGACTTAGTGTACTTCCATTTTACTCCTTCTTTCATTCTTAATATTGTTTGTTGTCATATATTTTACTTCTAGAAATGTTCTAGACTCCCAGTGCAGTGATTTAAACAGTTAATTATCTTTTAAAGAAATTAAAAACGAAAGAGAATATCTTATATTTATATACATATTTACCATTTTCTGCTCTCCTTATTGTTTTGTATAGCTCCAAGTTTTCATCTGGTGTCATTCTTCTTCACACGAACTTCCCTTAACATTTCTTATAGTGCAGGTCTCCAAGCAATAAATTCTCTGATGTGTGTGTGTGTGCGCGCGCATGCGTGCACATGTCTGTCTATTGGAAAACATCTTTACTTCACTCTCATTTTTTTAAGGATAATTTCACTGAATATAGAATTCTAGGCTGACAGGTTTTTTTCCCTTTCAGCACTTAAGAGATTTCGTTCCATTGTATTCTGGCTTGCATGGTTTCTGATTAGAAATCTGTAGAAATTCTTATCTTTGTCCCCTGTAATGTGTCTTCCCTTCTCGCCGACCAACCTCAGTTGATTTTAAGATTTTCTCTTTATCACTGATTTGAAGCAATTTGATTATGGTGTGCCTTGCTGTGGTTTTCCTTGTATTTATCTTGCTTGGGGTGTGTTGAGCTTCTTGGATCATTGGGTTTATAGTTTTCATCAAATTGGAAAACTGTCAGCCATTTTATCTTTAAATAAAGAGTGTTAGGCTTTGTTCTGGAAGCCATCTGAGTTACTTATGGATCAATCTGATCTTCTCAAGACTAATTTTCAATCTTTGTAAAGGTAAGTCTACAGTACCTCTTACTCTAGAAATGTTTTAGCCATAGTATTATTATTGTTCTCTTTCTAGACTGAATGTTCCATTCATTCAAGGAAGATTCTCCAATCTGGCTGGTCAGAATTTGAACACCTCTCAGTCCTGTATGAGCTCTGGTAATTTTTCACCTTAAACTCCCTAGGTGCTTTTAGCCCAACCTTGTGGAGTTTCACCTTATACTTCAATAGTGTAGTATCCAAAAGAACATCCCAGGGGACGCATGCAGATTTCTAGAGCACTTTCTCTGCAAGGACCTTTCCTCTCTGATATTCTGCCTTCTGAATTCTGGCCATCACAACCTCCACAAACTCTGATCTCTGTCTCCTCAACTCAGCAAGATGACTGTACTCTCTATGGGTACCTCCCTGAAACCATAGTCTTGAAATGCCTTCAAGCAGAAATATAGAGTGATTGCAGGATTCACAATCTCCTCTTGGGAACCACAGTCCTACCCTGACTATTGTGTAATATCTAAAAATATTCATTTCACATATTTTGTCCAGTTTTATAATCATTGATGGCAAGAGGACAAATCTCATCCCAGTTACTCCATCATGGACAGCAGCAGATGTCTTGCCATGAATTTTCAGATTTTCATTTTATTCTTTGAGAGGTCAGCAATCTTTGTACAAAGGACATAGCCAGCCTAAGGCAACGGGGTTAAAACTTTGAGGGTGCTATTGTTGCCTCAGAGAGGCTACCATGAAGCTCATGGGGATCCAGGCTTTCTCAAATACCAAAAAGTGGGAAGGAGAGATAGTGTCCAGGGACAACTGAATACTGATTCTGCTTTAACACTACCCACCCTTCACTTCTACCCCTAGATGATGATGTAGACTTGCTGATCTGACAGATTCAGTTCAAGAATCAGAAGAGCCTAAAAGAGCACAGACTGTTGTTATAAGTCCTTCCAGAATGGTGATATAAACCTGAATATAAAACAGAAGTAGTGTTGCAAGAATTTGGCTTCTTTTTCAACCTTGGCAGGATTCTATCTGCACAGAAATTGTCACTGACAGCCATGCAGTGCCAACTTCCATTAAGAACTAGGTACAAGGGACAAGCTATGTAAAAATATCCTGCATCTATTTGGTCTTTGTGTAGCCACCTTCCTTCAAGATAAATTCTGAATCCCTGGCTAAATAAATCAGGAATTTATATTAGAGAGAGAGTGTGTGTGTGTGTGTGTGTGTGTGTGTGTGTGTTCTTTTCGTACCAATAGATAACCCTACCCACAGTGCTAAAAAGCTTCACCTCTGCTCTAACACATTAGCCAATAAAGCCTTTTGGAAATCATTCAGAAAAGGCTTTGAAGGTAGCAGACAAGGGCTCTGGTGCCTATAGGAACAGAGTAGAGGTGGGCATTTTGTCTTGCTCCAGGCCCTTCCTGCCTCCAAGCAAAGCAGAGCTACCTAAGTCTAAACTACTAAATTTCCTTGCAGAACAAACACCAACACTCATCCGAAACCCTCCCGTACTCCAAATCCAATAAAACTAATAAAAACAGAAGCAAGCCATCTTAAAATTAACACATCCAAGATACAAGCAGAAACCATTGATCAAAACCTCCTGTCTTCCCTCACAGCTGACAGCTCCAGAGCAGCCCTAACACCCCATAATGGAATCCCATTATCTACAAAAGAAACTCGTTCCAGAGAACGGCCGCAAACAAAGAGAGAATCAAAAGAGGCTGGCACAAGGGGAGACTCCAGCGCTCACCTCTGCTCCCATAGATGGGGTACAACACTCAAGCTGAGAGAGCCATTAGAACTGCAGCAAGGAGGAGGCACTTCCCACAAGTTACAAAACTGAGAATGAAATTAAGGAAGAGTGCAGTGGGGAAGGAAGGCTTGAGAGCCTATTTCATACCATCTGTGCAAAAGCAAAACAGAAGCTGATTTCACATAGGAAGAAAATAGAGTCAACAAATATCTTTCCTTAAATTCCAGAACTGCCTGAATTCAGATAACACAGGGATTTCAGCTAAAGTAGGGAGCAAGTAAGATTAATTAGCAAATGCCTCAAATCCTTAATTCACACTTCAAACAAACAAGTTAATCGTGTAGCTAACAAAGTGTGACTTGATTATAGGCCACTGGTGGCCATTAATAGACGAAAGGTGTTTGGATTTCAATAGTGTTTGGATTTCATAACCCGCCTTCATAAGAAAAGTTAAGCTTAGTCACCACCTCCATTTGCTAACACCTGTGATCATGAATCCCACATGGCAAGCAAGCACCCCAGCTTTGAGCTTTTGGAATTGAAGAGTAGACAGGAGGAGAATTCATGAATTTTCTAGAGGTAATTGTTCTACCCTGCTTTGAAGAGCAGTTGAGTTTGGTCTCAGAAGACCTTAACATATGCATGAACACAGCCTTCCTAGCTGACACACAACTCAAAAGGCCCACTGTTATGCTACTTCAGCAGGAATCCCTTTCGGAAAGCTGAACAGGACCAGGCTCCAACCCTCAGATATTACTGATCAATCATGCAGATGCCCTATTCCCAAAGACACAAGCCTAGGTCCATGTGAGGCCTTAATTAAACTACAAATGGTAGATGCATTAAAAAACTGACTGTTACTAAGTCTATATATCAGTCTTCCCTTTGACCTGGTGGGCCCTATCCTCATAATCTCAGATTGCATTAAAACGCAAAAAGAGATCCTCCTCTTCTCTTGCTTCTTGATAACATCAAGCACTAAGATGAAAGATAGGGAGCCCAAAAGCATCATATTGTGTCATCTGAAGAGCAGCATGGGCCGCAGGGTAAAAAACAGTCAATCAAATGTTTCTTCCTCAGAACCTTGTGATGTGATGATGCACATGTCAAAACTTTTATAAAAAGGGAGCTTGCTTTTCAAAGGGTCACAATAGGGCAATATCAATCGGAGGAGGCCTGAATTGGCCTTTTTTTCCTAGTCGTGTAACAAAGAGATTCCAATAAAGGGAGTCCCTCCCTGTCCGATGTGATGACAGTCTACAAAGTCAATCCCAGTGGATCTGCAGCCAGATGCACCCCCAGGGGAGCAGCCTTGATGCAATATTCTTATCCTCACTGTTGAGTTTCATTAATTCTTTGGGGATCTGGGTCAATCATTATGGGTGATATGAGCCATAGAGAAGACCTAGGCCTTCTCTTCAGGAAGCTTATGGTCTTGGAAGACTAGGCACCTAAATTAGAAAGTGACATGAGCCTCTAAGACCGCTAAGATCCAAGTGGGTTGTGGGAAGTCCAGGAAGGGCCAGGTCTACACAGGCTGGAGGAGTCAAAATAAGAAACCAAAATGTGACCACAGGGGAAGGAAAAAAGGGGTGGGGGGTGGAGGGAAGGGGCAGGGGAGCTGTCCTCAGTCCTGAACCAACCTTGTGTTCCAGGGTGGCAATTTCTCACTGCATGTTGTAACTCATTAACCCATTAATGAGTCCAAAAATCAATCTAGGGTGGAAATTGGTATTTTTTAATGGGATAGGATGGGATGAGATGAGATGGGATGGGATGGGATGAGATGGGATGGGAGGAGATGGGATGGGAGGAGATGGGAGGGGATGAGATGGGATGGGAGGGGA